ATAATGCATTAGTCTTACTATAAATTAAATATACATAACAGAATAGAAAATTATCAAGCCACATCTTAAAGATTCTGAAACTTTCAGCTTTAAGTAATAATTACAAAACAGTTCTCAGACAGTGGATGGAATAACATTGAACTAGCTGAATAGCATTGTAAGAAAGAAGGTCATGCATATGAAGTATCTGACTAGGGTCATTATTGGATTATGTGAAGTGTTGGCAAAGAGGGTACCAGAACTCAATTAGTTATCTGAAGATCTTTATCTAGAATGTTGCTTGGATGTAAGCAATAAATGGAAACTATCCATCAAACAGTGAGAAAAAAGAACAGACACATAAAATGCCATAATTTAGGGATATACATGATCATCATTTTCAAATATGTTTTGAGTATAAAAATAGGCAAACGAAGCAAAAAATTGATATTGGCACCAAATTATAACATAATGTTGAAACATATACAGTGATATATCTCTGTTAGTTCATATCTCACTGAAGAAAAGCCACCATGTCCCCATTATACATTTCTTTTCTAAAGGCTGTCTTCTGCCTGGTGAGCATTTCCTTTTTAGAAATCTTGTAAAATCAGGACCCATTATGTGTCCCTTTCTTTTTATTGGGACGAAAAAAGATCTTCAAGAGGAGAAACATTGGCTCTCTTACCCTTTAGCACTTAAACACTAATTGACCAAGACAAACTTAAGTGTAAATCATTGGATGATTTATACACCTCAAAACTGTCCTTTTTGTATGGTCATGCTGAGTCTAAACTGAAATTATGTTGGTCTCATAAAAGATGTTATCACAGGTCAGTTATTCATCAACTACCATGCCATAACATCAGCTGTCAATATAAGCCAAGGTCTGTAAAATGAACACTGGTGTCTCAAGAAATCAGCCGATTCAAAATTTTGTCAATTTCAAACAGATTAATAAACCATATCCACTATGATATTTAGAAGCAAGTAATGTCGCACCTGCTAAGATTGCATCTTTTATTTTTTAGGGTCAATCATTTGCAGATCATCACAACAAATATTAACTTCAACCTGCAGAAAGAGAACAAATCAACTATGCACAATGTCTGTCACCACCAAATGAAATGGGTGCTACAAAAGATGATCTCAGCCAAAGAACATGCTTTTGCACATTTTGAGAAGAAAACCACACGGGGCTTGAAATACAACTCTACCAGATATATCATTACACTGTTACAGTCTTCTTTAATATATATATATATATATATATATATATATATATATATATATATATATATATATATATATATATATATATATATATATATATATACATACATACATACACAAAAGTAAAACCCTCCATAGATTTGATTGGATGACAAAGAATCTGTACAGAGATCCTGTCGCAGAACATTTCTTCTTGACTGGCCACACTTTCAGTGATATAACAATTATCACAATTGCTAACGACCCCAACTGGAGTTCCAAAGCCAGGAAGGAAAAAGGATACGCCACCTTAGAACACTGAAACCAATCGATCTAAACCATGAAGACTAGAAAAAGAAAGCCATGCACTAGCAGCTGACACTTTTCTAAATCTTCACAGTACCTTTAAATACTACTATAAGAATAAAATATCAGGGATAGAATAAAATATCCGGGATATAATCTGCGTTACATAAATGTACAGAAAGTAATAGATGTTGCTATGACTCATAGAGTTCCAGACCATGTATACCCAGTTAATAGAAACATTTTAGATCGAGCTGAAACTGGAATACTTGCCATTTAACTTTGTGCACCTGAATTCTGCAGTGGTTTTGTATCTGCAACAGGAAAGACTTTAAAAACCCTCCTACAATGATTAGAATCAAGGTAATAGATGGCAATTAATTAAGACAGTTTTATAAAATATCATATTCTATCTAAATATATTTTATAAATGTTAATTGCATTTTGCATATAAAAGTCAAAAGTGTATGGTTATCATCAAACCACTATAATAATATTTAAATTAGAACACAATAAATTTTATTTCCAAACTATGTATAACTAAGTAACTATTTTTTTATAGATATTTATAGAAATTATTGCTAGCGTGTAGCTAGTGCTTTTTTCCATCATAGCATTGTGACTAGTATTCAATGGTTTTTTTCCATAATATTTTGAAGACCAGTGGCTCTGATTTTGTATTCATTAAAATATGATTGTCACCATTCCATTAGAAAGTCATGTGGTCCAAGTTTTTATTTGTTAAATGAAAATGTCACTTGCCCATGTTTTTGGTTCATTAAAGTTTTAACTCACAGGCCTAGTTTTTATTGAAAATATTTGGCAACAACTATTTTAGATTATATCTTTAAAGTTTGGGGACTACTTACCTAGGTTTTGCTCATAAAATATTACTGACCAAAGGCACTGATATTTTAATCTAGTGTGAAGTGTGGTGGTGCAGATATTTTTGGTTTATTTTCCTGATTTATAACAAATTGCCTAGGTACATTTTACAAAGATTTTTTTTGGATCTAAAGTAAAGATCAGAAGTTTGGTGTGGAGGTCAATGCTAGTTGTAGAGTTACAAGTTATGTACAAAAGGATCCGTATAACATATAACGGCAAAGTTATATGAGCTGCAGATTAATGACTTTCTGATCTTACTAATATGTGCTCACCACTAAATGATTTACTCAATCAGAAACATGTATTTTGTTCACAAGATTGTATATATTAAAATTAAGTTATAGTGTAGTTTAATTTATAGTGTAGTTTAATATATCTAACTTGTCCTATCTCTGCATGCAGCATTAACTATGATAAATGTTTTGTTTCTGTAATATGTTTAATTTTACTCAAGTTCTTTGAACAATCTGCAATAGCCAATACAAAATGTTGGTAGTAGGAACATATTTATCATAAGTGTTTAACAGGGGCTCCTGCCAGTACCAACATATATTTCTAATTTTGTCGGACTAGTCACACTAAATTAATGTCAGGTCAAGATAGGATACACATCTTTCAGTGTTCTAGCTTTTTAGAAGTCCATGTTATTATTATTCTTCTTGATCAGGTCATGTACGAACCAGGATGCAAGGTTATTTAATTGCTTTTTACCATAACACTTTAGACATTTCTAGCTAGAGTATCATTCAGTTTATTTTTCTAACTCATATACAGTGATACTCGTAGGAATTAGTGGTGTTGGCAAGACTCTATCTCATGAGTTGTAAATGCCTTATGCCTATGCAAATGTGATGTTTTAAGAGGTACAATTCCAGACAGGAATAAATACAGTACCTGTATATGGAATCATTCCATGCATTATGACATTTTATAGCAGTATAGATAAACTATATGTGGATGAGTGACAAGTTATCTGATTTCTAGCTGTATTATTCCATAACTTCAAGTCTTATGTGAATAGCAGTTGCATAATTTCAATGACATCAGCATATACTGATAATTAGTAATCCAAACATTAGGATTGTCAATGCAAACAACACAATTTCACATTTGTAACAGAACAACAGAATAACATATGTTTATTATGTGCATTTTATTAGGTAACATGTGGAAAATCTCTCATTACTTCATTTGGAAATCAATACATCATTGGAATATGTTTGGCACAAGTGTAATGTTCGCTGATAGTATTTGTCTACTCTGAGTTGTATACCAGAGGACCCATTACTCTGTACCTAACTGGTTTCAAAATTGTGCCTATTACAGTAGGCTGTTATAAATAAAAAAGTTGAATTTCTTATAATTGCTGCAAATAAATGGCTTACATTTTACATATATCTTTGTATGAATATACTAATAGTTGGAAAGTTTTCTGGTCAAGCTCTCCAGAAAGATTAAATTTAACAATTTGAAACTAGAATTTAAATTCTACTTTCTAGCTACATATTCTGAATGCATTTCATTGGCAGATGTTTTCATTAAAAATGGATGATGCCTCACATCTACTAGATATAAAAGAACAGAAGAACAAAGTAATGTTTTGTTTAAAAATTTTCACCTTTTTGAAATTAATTTTCCTCATCTGTAAAGCCAAAAGATCCACAAAATGTATTTATTGCAAAATGAGTTACATTTCTTGATATTCTGACTGCTTGTGATGAAAATTTACCTTGTTAATGTTAACATATTCTCCTTTTTCATTATGTTACATAAAAAAAATGTATTGACACATTAATAAATCAAAATTTGCTTACATATTGTTTTGAATGTTGATGCATGTTTACAGCAACCATGAAACGTGTGAACCCTTCTCATGGTCCAATTACAAAAAAAAAATAAAAAAATAAAATGCACTAAAATAAATTTTTTTAACAAAAATTCAAAATAATTCATAAATAGCAGTTACATTCGATGTCAAAAAGAATAAAGACTTTGGACTCTACATAAGTTTTTTCAGAGGAGAAAATCCTGGTAATATCTGTTCACTGTTTGAATAATATTAAATAACTTTTACAAGTGAATATTAATTGACTCTGAAGTCTATAAAAAGGTAAAACAAACTACAGCAAAAAGAAAAATAAAAAAAATAAATACAAAGACAAAACGAAAATAAAGAATATTCTGTCAAAAAAAGAAATAGAAATTTGATAAATGTCTTTGCTTAGGACATTTCTTAATCATTAAATTTTAAAAATAATAGGAAGGATTCTCTCTTCCAGTTCTTTCATCTATATACCTAACTGCACAAGCACCTTTAAAAATATTTGCCAGAAACAACCCAAATTGGTGACCCCATGGTAATCTTTGCATACCTTTTTATTCCAGCTCTCCACCTTCTAAATGAAGGACTCACTTATGCATATATATGAGGCTCTGTTTCATGATTCAATATACATTAGCAGAATGTCCTACATGCTGCTCTGTTTTCCGTTCTCAAGATTTAGTGACATGCTTCATCAAATTCTCATACAAATATTTTTATTTTTGATTCAAAACACATGGTATGTCTTCGGAAGCATTATCTCTGCATTTAATGTTAGTTTTAGACATTTAGAGACTGCTATGGTGGACATGTGGTTAATGCATCCACCTCGGAAGCAAGAGGTCATGGGTTCAAACCCCAGCTTAGTCATATCAAAAACTGATAAAAATATTACTAGCAGCTTTAAGAGGTTAGTGCTAGAGCTGGTCAGCCCAATGCCAGGATAATGTGACTGGGTGGGACATCATGCTACATGTCTGCTGCATGATGCCCAGTGCTAGACATCACAAGAAACTACGAATCATACACACACACATTTAGGTGATACTCCATTATACAAATAAACAGAATGGTAAAAGAATATAGCCCATTTATCCAATGAGACATCTTTAAAGTAATATCAAGATATTAAAACCTACATAATTACAGACTCTAAAAAAAAGCAGTGTTTAGAAAATATATAATTCAACCCTAAAGGTTCTGTACCTTCATAATGGGCCTATGTATTATCTCCTGAAAAATCAAGCTTACTTGAACACCAGATCTTCTTTTCTTGCTCTTGTAAACAAGCCATGTAATTGGTACAATAGTTGTAAATCGTCCTGTCATTAACTGCACAAAAATTACTTTAGATTTTTCATTTTTATTACTGTTGGCCAATCTAAATTATTTGTCTGAAAGATCTATACCAGAACTCTCTCAAATCTGTCCAAATTTTGTGGAGCAGTTTCCTAAAGGTCACTTAAGGCTTTTATATCTTTATAGTAAATGTGGCCATATTTGATGTCAGATCAGCATCATTTCTACATAAATGAACATTCTTCATGCCAGAATACATTCTGCATTTATGTCATGCCAGAACACAGTCTGCAAGTATTGGTCAAATTCAACTAAGCAGTTTTGGAGAATAGTTCTAAATATTTTTCTTTTTTTATGAGCAGTGGCCATATCTGATGGCTAATTGGCATCCTTTTTTAAAAAATTTAAAAGATTTTCACATAATGATTCCTTTTGTCAAATTTAATAATTTGATTAAATTATGTTTGGCAGTTTTTAAGATTTTATTGAAAGGGTTATTTCCATTTCTTATGATAGCAGCCACAAATTATGGTAAATCCACATCAATTGCACAAAATGTGACAGACTTTTGCCAGTATACTCTGTGGCCAAATTTAGTAGAAATTGGTCTCACGACTTTTGCAACTTTGAAAGTAGCAACTGTTGATTGATGATATACATTTCTATTTTTAGTAACAAAGGCCATATTTGATGGCAGCTTGGCAAAATCAGTATAAACTTTATAGGTCTTCATGTCAGTAAGTCTTAATCAGCAGTTTTGAATAAGATGATGTTTAAGAATATATAACTTTATTATTGGCAGAAACATTTGATGGTAGAACATCACTGTAGAAATGTGGAAGACCATAAAACCAGGATAGTCTATGCTAATGCAAGGTAATTACAGGCTGATGTGTGAGTATATGTGTAAATGTCTCAAGCAGAAGAATATGGATATTTTTTATCATAGAAAGAGTCTGTCATTTAAATCCCTCACCCAATATTTAGTGAAGATTTGGGGCAAGAATGTTCTCTCTATCATAAGGATAGATAATTTTGCTTGGGGTTTGGTGACCATGTACTTATGCTCAGATCTTTTCATTAAACTGATGTACTTGTTTAAAGAAGAGGAGGATTTGCAAGTTCAAGACACTCATCTATTAACTCTGACCATGTACCTGGAAAAGAAACAAGTAATGTATTTAACTTTCAATCAATGTCAAAATTGCTTATATATGTACTAACAGTTGAATTTATATATCAAACCAATACATCAATGTTATGCATGTCATACAAAGGCAGACATCACAAAGTTTCTGTTCCTTCAAAACTAAATGATTTTGTCATTTGTCACTGAGAATCAGCTGTAATAAGAATTTACTCAAATGTCACCTATAAGAATTATAACTTGGATTCTCTGTAATATATCGAATCTATATGGTGGAAATGTACTTTTCTACAGCACAAGACTTGGTAGATTATAAAGGTGCATTTTCAAAAGTTCCTCAAAAATTTCACCAAATTTGGAATAATAATTAATAACAAGAAAATTAATTTACTTTGGCTGGGTAAATAAATTTTGATATTACCCTGAAATGAAAATTTGTAGCTAAAGTTATTACCATCAAAGGAAAGACATAAACATTATGTAGTTTTCCACAAGTTTTTTAAATCCTGCATTTCTGATGAGATACCTTAAGGAAACCAACATAGCATTATGTTCTGAACGTTTGATTCACCAGTCAAATTATGGCTTTCACATCAGTACATGAATGTAAAAACTCATTTGGAGCAGTTTCTAATGATAACTTGTGCCAAAAGGAACCTGAATGTTTTATCTTACATGCAACCGTAATGACTGTAAGTGTTCAGACCGTATAATAAAAGTATAAACAGATTCTAATGATATTCTGAAGGCAACATGTTTGATATATATCTGTAATATATTGTCACTTTTTTCCTTAACCCAATTTTGGGTTAATTTTCATTAATTGTTTTTTAACCGGGTGCTTTAAAAAGCAAATTTTCAAGTAAATTATGTTTCTCCAAGAACATTTACCAAATCAAATTATGTTAGGATATTTGCCTACTACTCTTGAATCCAGCACTAATTCAAAGATGAAAATCGTCTTTTCTAAACACCGACACAGAAATGGGCAATAACTCTTGCTTATTGCCTCCCCTTTCCACCTCCAGCTGTTGCTAGTTTTAAAGCCAACTGATAAGTGAACATGAAATCTTGCATGATGGGGTAATTGGGAGGGTTTTTAAGTAGTCTAATTGGGTAAATATTCTTGGAGAAAAAAACAATTTACTTGAAAATTTGTTTTTTCCTTCAGATATGTTACCTGATCCCATTACATAAGGAGAAGAGGTAATAAGAGGATGGGATACTGAGCATGTGACCTCTAACTCAGGTATCCTTCCATGAAAATATAGCTGGACTCACCATGTAAACAATAACCCTTTCCCCTAACTGATAAGCAACACTGTCTAAGGTTACATGACAGTGACATCTATGTGGCTAAGAAGATGAGTATGGAAATCCTCTAACCTACAAAAATCACTGGCCAATCCAGTTTGATGGTCATCTAGGCTTCTGAGACTGGACCACCAGCTTCAGAATTTGTCTCTGTGAAGCTAATGGGCCAAGAGGAATCAAGTCCACTAGCACCTTGAATATTCCAAATAGCTGCAAGAACCATCAAGGAGATCATTCCTGCCTTAAAGTTGAATTGGACTTATTGATTTTAAGGATGTCACGCAAAAAAGCTGCTATTGATGAAGATGAAGTTAATTCCAACAGGGCGACAATCCATAATCTTGGTGAAAATCCAAGGACTGATGTAGGACTTTGAACTGATAAACCCTGTCAAGCAAACTGAAGGAACTTCCATGATGCTAAAAGGATAGGACATTAAAATACAAGTCACTCTCATCAAGGCTAATAGCATACCCATCCTTCCTGATGGAGAGATGGATTGACCTTGCAGTCTCCATCTTGAATCTTTGGTTGTAGAATGTATTGAGATGACTTGTGTCAATGATCAGTCTCAACTTCCTGTATGATAATAAGCCTTAAATAAAACTCCACACTTAGTGGTTTTTGCACAATTTCCACCACCCATTTAGTAATAAGGAGCCATATCTCCCATTGCAAAAAGGCATTATCACCTGATTATGGTATTTTGTGTAAGATGGAAAACAGAAAAGGGAGGGGTTAGATAAATGAAATCCAAAGCCCTTCCAAAATGACTTGGATCACCCAGACATCCTGAGGGAAAAGGATGATCCAGTGAGAGTGAGACTGTATCGTTGCATATTTGGTTGTTGCTATCCTGTTCATAATTAATTGGAGTTTCATATTTGGATGAATTTACCATTTATTGATTTAGTACTTTACCAAATTGCAACCAAGATATCATTAGACATGTGCTATTGTCTTTGAATACCAAAATAATATTGATTATAACATGTTAGTTTCTGGTGTGTAGTTGCTTGGATGATGCTACCGTTATGCGTAAGTTCTTGACTTAGGATAACAATGCAATATTTACTATAGGATCTTAATAGCTAGTGAGTGGCTGAATATTTGCAGGCTTTGCCATTTACAGACTTTTGTGACTCAATATATCTAAATGGCAACCACCTATCATTGTAAAGTTTTATTGAATTAAAGTGACAATATTGATATTTGGTGTGTAGTTGCATATTATCTGCATGCTGGGTTGCTTTCTATTTTAAGCTAATATTTCTTTATTTGCCCTTTCAGTTCAGAAAATGACAAACAAATGCAAAAAATATAACAAATTCTGGGTGGCACAAGATACACCCATTCTATAACATACAGATGTAGAAAGTAGAGAAAGCTGAAATGTGTTTAAAATGGCTGTCTGATAAGTTTTGATTGTGGAAGTCATTCATAACTTTTCTTCAAGATCTGCTAATGTAGAAACTGTCTATGTGATTTTGGGAGCTTTAATGTAGCTTAACAATTTTTTAATCATATCACTATGTCTGCAGAGGGAGAGTTTATAGTGGTCTAGCACTGGAAAATCATAGGGTAAACATGTAGCATCATGTCCCACCCAGTCACATTATCCTGAGAGAAGGCTGACAAGTCCTAACACTAACCTCTTCATGGAACACCTAGCAAGGTAGCTGTTAGTACCATTTTTATAAGTCTTTGGTTTGACTCATCTGGCGTGCAAACCCCTGACCTCTTGTATCCAAGGTGGAAGTTCTTACCACTAGGCAGTATGCTATTACTGACAGTGAGACAGCTAGGATTAACACATCTAATGTGACAATCACAAAAAGTTCTCATTTTGGATTCATAGACCTTGCAGGCAGATCATCTCTGTGCCAGAATGATGCGGTCAGCTATATTGTTAAGAAAGTTTGCCTGGTGGATGGAGAGTTGAGACAAGACAAGATGAAGAATCTGAGGACTTGTGAGAAGGTCAGTGAGTTATAATTTGGACAATTGGAACTGTAGACATCCTGACCTTCTGAGGATTCTGTGGGTTCAATATGAAGGATGGAAATGTGCAAGTGAGCAGCTGATCCCAACTCAGGCTTAAAGCATCCAA